AAAAATATCTTAGGAAATGGATTATAAGCTAATAAATCGAGAGGAAAATATAGGAAAATTGTTCTTTTTTTGACATAAACATTTTATTTTATTTATTTTAAAAATAGATATAATTGACATACATAACATTAGGTTTGGATGTACAACCTAATGATTCGATATTTGTATATATTGTGAAATGATCACTAAAAGAATTTGTCTGTAAAACTACACAGAACAATGGTTGTTTCTATACATGGTACCATTTGTTGCTTCCATTTACTTTTTCATGACCGCATTTTTATTTACATGGGTTCAAAACAAATCTGTCTTTTTCCTATTGAGATATGATTGGATAAAAATTTTTGTAAGAGAGACCATGCAACAGAAGTCTCAATCAAAAACAAATCTCATTTAATTAGGTATGATAAGCTCACTATTAAGAAACAAGGACTGCACTTCATATACGGAAATGCTGCCTACAGAATCTTCCCAGAAAACTTACCTTGGACATACTCTATGACTAGTGAAATCTCAGCCTTACCTTTAATAAAGAATGACCAAGGACATTGGCAGACTTCTCAGAGAAAGAAGGACACTCCAGTTATATAGCTACTGCAGGAAAAGCTTGTTAGAGGAAAACTGCATGCCTTTGTTCCTAGACTTAGAAAGGAGAAATGGATAATAGCAATTCAAATACTTCTGTAACACTTATATGATCAAAGTATGACTAGGGGCTTTATGAAGCTTGCAGACAAAAGTTAATTTGCCAAACATTGTTATCATATGGCTTTACTTTTTAAAAACCATACAATAAGGAAAATTTTGAGTATTAATCGACACCTCTTGTGGCTCCTATGTAAATTAAACTGGCCAAATTGGAAAAAAAAAACCCCCACCAAGTTAAGGATTTAAATAAGAAAATCACAGAACAAACCAGTATGGTCTATGCTTAAGAGGCAGCAACTGGCCAGGAGAGGCAAAGGAAGCAGGACTGATACTTGCTCTGCTGCCATTTTGACTTAGCACATCGTGTACCTTAGTCATAAAGACAAAACAAAAAACCTCCAAACATTTGGCATTCTTAAATTTTAAAAAGACAGAAGAAACCTGTTTAATATTAGCCTCTAAATGAAGATCTGAGACCTTCTTGTAAATTGCTAACATCCTAACACAAACAACTTTATTCCTGATTTTTGCAATATTGATATCTGCAGATTGATGACAACCCTTGCAATATGATAATTATGTGAGGAACAAACTGACTATTATTTCGGCAACTTCTCACTTTTTCTCTAAATACCTGCTGTGTTCTTTATCTGGAGAGCTCAACTGTTCTCAAGTATGTTCTCTTGCAAAATAGTGAAAGTAAAAATTCTTTTCTTAATGGTTTTGTGCCTGAGTTCTTTTTTCATAATTGGTCATTGTTGAAGCTGGTGAAAGGTACTTCAGGTCCTTTTACTCTTCCTTCCAATTTTGTACACAGGCATCCCAACCCCTGGATTGGTTCTAGACCCTCCCCACAGTGGATACCAAAATCCAAGGATGCTCAAGTCCCTTATATAAAATAGTGTAATATTTGCATATCATCTATGCACATCCTCCCGTATACTTTAAATCATCTCTAGGTTTTATGTAATACCTAATACAAAATAAATGCTGTATAAATAACTGTTATCCCATATTGTTTAGGGAATAATGACAAGAAAAAAAGTCTGTACATGTTCATTTCAGAGGCAACAATTATAGGCCTAACTACATAGTACACGTCAGCCACAATGTAACATTTTTTTTTCTGAATATTTTTGAACTGCAGTTAGTTGAATCTATGGATATGGATGGAACCTGCAAATATGGAGGGTCGATGGTATAATTTTAAATTTTTATAATTAAAAAATAGTAATATATAGGGCTATCTACACTATCAAAGAGATACCATGAGTGCTTTCATGCAACGGCATAAGGCTTAGTCTAATCTAACTAGTTTTCAAACTTGAAGGCTACTTTACTGCACGCAGTGTTCAGGTTTAAAGCCCATGCTACTGGTAGAAATGACTAACCATCATGCAGATAGTACTGGAGCTGGCTGCCTGGAACCGAGGAAAGTTATCTTTGTGGTTGTGAAGTTGGTGTTTTCTGGCCTCATGGGTGAGGTTAGATTCCTCAATGTCAAGTAGCAATGAAGGGAGCCAGAGTTTCCATATTATTTGCTACATTCAGTGTGCATGTCAAAAATAGATCCAAAAACTATGGCAACTGAAAAATATTTCTTTTAATCAGTGTTTGGGAAACAAATGCTGCTATTTGGCTTCAGGACTGGCTTCTTCAGCATTGACATTGGCAAATCTGATTCATAATAAAGTCCTACAGCACTTGTTTTGTTTTTTAAAATCCCATATGGACTTACTCTGCAAAACTTCTTGGTACATTTGCACATTTTTGTTTCCTGGAGGTTCCTTTGGATTTGTTTGGCTCTGGTATCATGATTATTTATTATACATTTCCCTTGAAATATAAAAAGAAAGAACACACTTGTTATATTTAGTCATTTATGTATTTAACAAGTATTTATTGATCTACTGTGTACCAGGCATTTTCCTTGGCACTCTGGAAAGATATAAAACGTATCTGATACGTATTGTCATCTCAGCATACTTTCAGCCAAGTAAAGAGGCTGGAGACCTGCAATTTTTCCCCCTTCCCATTCTTTTTATTAAAAAAAAAATTTTAGTGGAAACTTTTAAACATACATAAAAATAGAATAATACAATGACCCTCCATGTGTCTCTCATTCACTAATCGATAATAAGAAATTATCAACAGCTTGCTAATCTTGTTTTTTAAAAATTTTTATTTTAATTTTTTTTTAGAGTTGACAGTAAACATTATTTTATATTAGTTTCAGGTGTGAAGCACAGTGGTTAGACATTTATATAATTTATGAAGTGATTCCCTCCGTTTAGTCTAGTACCCATCTGGTGCTATACTTAGTTATAATATTATTGACTATATCCCCTATGCTGTACTTCACATCCGCATTTTGTAACTACCAATTTGTACTTAATCCCTTCACCTTTTTCACCTAGTCATTATACTGGGTGGCTCCAACAAGAGAAACTTACTGTCTCACAGTTCTGTAGGATGACAATCACCAATTTGTTCTCTGTATCTGTGAGTTTGTTTTCGTTTTATTTGTTCATTTATTTTGTTTTTAGATTGCACATATAAGTGAAATCATATGGTATTTGTCTTTTTCTGTCTGACTTATTTTACTTAGCTTAATATTGCTAATCTTGTTTTCATTCTTCTCCTCTACCTTTTTTCCTGCTAGCATATTTTTAAACAAATCCCAGAAATCAGGACATTTTACTGCAGAACTTTTTAACCAACAAGACCTTTTATCTTTGATAAAACCTCTGTGCCATTATCACTTCTGATAAAGACAAATATAAATCTTTAATTTTATCTAATGGTCAGTCCATGTTCAAATTTTCCCAATTTTCTCAAGATGTCTTTTCTGGTTGGTTGGTTCATGTCAGCAACCAAACATTCCCCACAGCTGTAATTCCTTTTAGTTAAAATTCCAATTCAACCTGAGGATAGGTCTTCCCTGGTGGCAAGTTGTGGCAATGACCTGGGTGTGGGGCATTTTGGGACACCTTGGCACGTAATATTCCCTCCTATGTTCTCTTTATCATACACACAAAAGAGGCAACTCCAAGCCCCCCTAAACTGCTGACAGCCCTCCAGTCTACTCAGTGGGGTAGAGTCTCTTTTTGAGTGTGGAGAAGGGATAATTTGGGGTAAGTTATCTGCTAAGTAGGATAACTTGCAGTGTTGCCTATTCCAGATCAATTTATTTAAGACTGTTATTCATTGCCTTGTAGGTAGGGCTGGGAGTAAATAGTGAGGAGGTATGTGATATAGGTTTGGAGTTTAGGGGCAGCTATTCAACTTTAATTTTACCAAGCTGACCTCAATCTTTAATAAAATTAGCTATTAGAGAGTCTAGATCCTAGTAAAGAAAAAGAAACAAATTACCACCAAGCTTCTTTGCCCTTTTCTCTTCCAGCTTCTTTAGGGTCAAAAGAAAATGACTGAAATGCATGCACTGAGATGAAGAGAGATGTTACAGGTTATTAAATCCAACCTTCCAACCAGCAGGAGACCCCTTCTGATAATAAGAACTAACATCTTTACAAGCAAGTGGTCACGTGACTCAATGCCACATCTGGGGGCTCCAAATCCTACCCCTTCTAGGGGGTCACGTGGCCTCTGTGTGTACTTCGTCAGAGAATGAAGACCTCATAATTCTCATTGTTAGCAGGCATCCTTTTAGATTTCACCGAAATCCCTTTCCTCTGTTGAGAGTTTTGCCCTCTGTTGCTCTACAGAATGTCACGATTTGGGGTGTGGGGTGGGGAGAGATATAAATTTGTGATAGCTGGAAAATGCACTTTAAATTTACAGTAGAAACAATCTTGTCTCAGTACAATTAAATTAGAAGTATATAGGGCTAATAACAGCTAATATAAATTAGTACTTACCATGTGCTACATATTTCCCAGGGTTGCTGTAAAAAAGTACTACAGACTGGGTGGCTCCAAAAAGAGAAATTTATTGTCTCACAGTTGTGGAGGCTGGCAGTCTGAGATCAAGGTGTCAGCAGGGTTGGTTTCTTCTGAGGGCTGTGAGGAAGAATCTGTTTCTGGCTTCTGGGCTAGTCTTTGGTGAACTGCCGGCAATCCAGCATTCCTTGGTTCCTTGAAGCATCCACCCAATATCTCCCATCATCTTCACAAGATGGTCTCCCTGTGCTCATGTCTCTGTGTCCTATTCTCTGCCTTTTATAAGGACCAGCCATATTAGATTAGAGAACACTGGACTGGCCTCATTCATGTCAACTAATTACATCTGCAGTGACCCTTATCTCCAAATGAGATTGAATTTTGAGGTACTGAGGGTTAGGACTTCAACATATGAATTTTAAGGGACACAATTCAAGCCATAACATGTGCCAATACTTTGCATATATTTGAGATTTTATTCTCACAACAACACTTTTAGGTAGGTAATGTTACACAACAACAGATGAGTAAACTGAGACTTAAAGAATTCAATAGTTTGTTCACAATTGCAGAGCCACATAAGTGGCAGAAAACTTGATTTAAAATCTAGACACTCTGATTCCAGAACCCAGGATTTTAACTACTTTATTATACTGTCTTATTTCTACTTGTATCATTTTATTTTTTGACTCTCTCGTCCCTTATAGCTGTAGGAAGTTACTTGCCAGAAACGAATAAACACTAGTAGTAAAATTTCTATGGTACCCTAACACTGCCACCTGGTGGTAAAAACAATTAAAGCCGTTTCTAACTTGGCGGCAAAAGTTGCATTGCATGAAATGCTCAATGGCTAATTACACCAATACAGTCAAATGATTATGAATTCTGTTTGATACTGCTTTTGACCAAACACAAGTCATATGAGAAAAAATAAGAACAGAACGGCACAAATTTTGAGCTCATGAAGAGATCTAAATTTTACTGAATAAAATATGTAACCCACCATAGAAAATTCTTGGGTACCTATTTTGTGATAATATATATTCAATAGCTTTATATTTTAAAAACCTATATATATTTTGAGACCTGATCTAGTCTTATTTACTTTGGAAAAACTGTTTTTTCCTGATGCCCTTGCTCTGATGACTCATTGTAGACACCATTTCCTTCTGCTGTTCAAACTCAGGATTCAAAAATAACTCAAGATTAATTAGCAATTACTAGTCATTAACTGCTCTTTGAAAGAAAAAAAGAGGGGCTTTACAGAATAATTGGCTTTGTTGCTTTTCCATCTCCTGGTGTGCAATTTTCTAGACCTTCACCTCTCTCTACAGTTTGCTATTCATTATGTCTTACTACAAGTTCAGAAATAATGTGGCATAACATGCTAACGATAAGCTAGAAAAAAATCAGTCATATGGAAATCAACTAATTTTAGAACTGGAAGACACCTTAGAGCTTATTTAGTCTAGATCACACCATTTGTTTGTTTTTCATAGGGGAACGATGGGAAATCTTGGAAGAAAGGAATTGCTGAATTGACTTTTGGGGGTGGTGGTCCGAATCAGAAATACTGACAAGGACATGGCTAAAGTGGGGTGTTGGCATTGATCCTGAGCCTGGGGTGGGGGTACTGATGACGGCTTTAGCAATAATTCATTTTTGTTTGGATCAAACGCTTTCAACCACAACATCATGACAAACTGGTATGTTGAGCTTAGATACAAGGCATATTGCAAGTAATATGTTACTAATAATTATAGAAACTTTTCTCTGGATTTGAGCTCAAAAGTATTGGAAATAGTCAGGTCCCTAAAACAAAAAGGAAAGAACCATTATCATTGTTAGTAATTTTATGTTGATGCCTCACTGAAACAAACACACTAACAGAATAATGTGCAATATCAGGGCTGGGAACATAAATAGCTTAGAAGCCTGAGACTTGATTTCATTTTTAGTTTCTAAAGTATTTCCAAGTTGGATATTTCCAAGTTTGGATGTCAAGAGAAAGAAAAAAAGGTCTCCTGAGGCCACATGCAGAGGAAAGGCTGTAGACACAGACTGACTAACATGCTGCTTCCTGCTTTTTATTCGATTTGGTTCTTTGGGGGAAAAAAAAACCAGACAATATGACTAGAGGAGGCACAGGCCAGCCAATGCTAACACATGTAGGCTTTGAAAGCTTCTATAATGTCTGTCTCTTTGTGATTGTGTGTGCTGCTGTGTAGAGCAAGAAAAACAGAACCTAAACATGGGTTTCTCAAGTCCCATGGCCACAACCTTATCCCTTCCGATGAAAACACTGTCTCTTGAAAGTTGGATATAATCAATCAACTGACATTTATTTTCTACTATGTGCTGGACCCTTGGCAAGGTGCTTTCTCTCATAAGGTCCAGCTGTCGGAGAGGCTGGTATAAAGGATACAGTCAAAACTTGTGGACCCAAAAGGGCTAATGCAGATCACATGCTTACCCCTAGGACCTGATCTGAGCATTTTCATAGGCTGACTGTCTTCCTTACAGAAAATAGGAAACTTTTGCTTATTTTCTTAACCATTCTTGTTAGTTCCAGTGTTTTTCATGTGTCCTAATAACCATATATTTCATTTTCCACCCATCCAGACTCCTTGCTCCTCCCCATTCGGTCAGGCGAGAACTCGTAAATGTCATTGGTCACAAAGCCGCTCTCCATGCTCGCCAGAGTCACGAATCCGCTTTCAGATGGGTTCACAGCCATGTTGTCATAGTCACAAGACGTGTCATCGGGAGTAGCTTCTCCCGAACACACTCGGAATGAAAGATTCTTCAGGTCAGGCCGGGTCTCGGCTAAATCGGCTTCACTTTGTTTTCGTATGACATTGTAAACCTCTAAGTCTGGGCTGTTCCCTTGGTGAGGACAGGCCCACATGGTGTGCTGCTGCTTTGTGCTGCGGCCCAGCTGCTCCCGTTTCCTAGAAAGAAACAAAACCAGGGCTGAGTGTTTTAGACAAGCGAACTTAGAATATCCTTGTGCTTCCTGGTCCAACAGCAGGAGGACGGCATCCTGGGCAATCACCACACTACGCTTCTCACCTACCTAAACTTACAGGTGTGGGCTTTGATAACAAAACAGGAAAGTGTTGCTATGTTTAAAGCGATCATGTATCTGTCATTCACTGCTGCCACAGCATAGAACAGAGGTGCTTATCCTGGGATCTCCAGAGCCCCCCGGAGGGTCCATGAATATCACATTTAAAAAACTCATCTCTAAGTGAAATTTAGCATGTCCTTCAATTCTAAATGTAAGCAGTATACCAAAGTAGAATTAGCAATATCTTTGACTTGATCACCAACAGAAATCATATTTTCTTATTATATCGGTTATAATAGATGCCTTAAAATATTTTATGCTCATCTCTACTTCAAAATTATGAGAATTATATCCACCACTACATTAAGAAAGATGCATTATGTATCACAGTATCACATATTCATTTTTGGAAATATTTTGTTAAACAATACATATTGGTATAATTGCTTCTCCTGCAATCCAGTGTATATTATTTTATTCATTTAAAAATATTGTTCTGGGAAGGAGTCCATAAGCTTCACCAGACTGCCATAGGGGCATGTGGCACAAAAATAGGTCAAAACCTCTGAGACAGAGTCCAGCTTTAGAGTTACAATTCCCAAAACAGGTGAGGTGCTGAACAGTAAAGAAGAGAAATCAAGAACCATCTGTAGAGTAAGCAGTTGGAAAATATATTTGTAATTTTTTTAGGACTGAATTCTATTTCCAGATTAGAAGACATTAATAAAAACGATCCTAGTAAAACCTAACATTTTCTAGTGCTTACTACATGCCCGTTCTGCATGTATTAACTGCTTTAATTCTAATAATCATATAAGGATGTTGTTACTAAATGAAGTAGGTTCTACACTGGAATTTTACTAATTCATCTTAAATTGGTCATCAAAGGATGCCAGATCTTATGTATACCATGATGGTGGGGAATAAAAGGTAGCTGAGAAGAGCTAAAAAATGGTGACAACAAGGTTACTTAGTGTAGCTATGTTGTTGCAATCTAAAATTGTGTATTCAACCAAAAGAAATGTCAATTAAAAGGATTTGGCTATTTTATTTTGAATAAAGTGATTTAGTTTCAGATGCTTGCCAGAATGCTGGAACAGTTGCTTTTCACATGGCTCACTATTCATTCCTTCCCTCACCCAATAAAAATTTTTGGAGTGAGAGCATACATTTATGAGAGCACTTTGCTGAGTGACGAGAGGGTACACAGGAGATGAATAACAATTCTATGCCTCAAGTCATTTAAAATCTTCCACTCGAAAACATTAACGAATAATAAAAGATCACTCTTTTAATCACAACTAAGCACAAATGCTTAGTACTTCTGAATGCTTTGAGCACGGCAGAGAATTTACTCTCAAATCTGCAGTGGTGGTTCTCTTGGAGCTGCCATGGCTTTTAATGAAGTAAACAGGGCAATGTCCAAATCTTAAAGAGTTCAGAAGACATAAAGGTTTACATGATGAAGGTTTTACTTGCCTCCTTCTACAGATCCAAACCCAACATCCAACTGTGGTGACGACAAGGAGGAGGAAAAGGGGAATGCTGGGGATTAGGAAGTAGGCAAGATTCGAGGCAGCTTCTGAAAAGAAAAACGCGTATTATCAGTATTAGTGATGTGTTTATGTGCTTCAAAATAGGCTTTAACAAACATAATAAACATCATCAACACAGAGTATTCCAAAAAGCACATTTCTGGAAGGAAAGAGGTATACAATTACCCAGTTAGCAAAGTCTTCTAGTTTTAATAAGTGAGCATTTTCTACCGGCCCTATTATCATAAGTAATAGAGAAAAAGGTGAAATTTTTGGGTTTCATGCAAAATATCGGAAGGGCGGTTTTGTTTATTAACTCTTTTTTTCCTCAGAGGAAAGAGATTCTCTCTTGTCCTTCCTCTTAACGAAGCAGGGGCTGCTTGAGCAGTGATAATGTCTTTGACTCTAAGGACAGAAATTGTAGCTCCCAAGTTGGGGTCAAGGAGAGGAAAGGAAAAAGAAGCAAGCCAAAAGTCTCAGAGTTACTACCAGGAAAGAGAAGATTACATGAAGCACATGAATCAGACTGTGGAATCTACCTAAGATGAACTGAATCCAGTTGGGAGCATGAGCAGTGACTGGAGGGCTCTTCGAGGTCTGCTTTCCTGACCTTTCCTGTCCTTTAAAATTCTCTTAGAACCAGAGAATTTTCTCTCAAGGGGCTTTGGGAAGAATCAAGGAAGGGGACTGACCCCTTTTCTACTCCTACTGGTCCAAGATTCCCAGCCATCCAGAGGTTATTGCTTTCTTTTTCCGTAAGGCTGCAAACCTGACAACCACCAAAGGAAAAAAAAAAGCCCAGACAAAACCCACTTTAAATACCACCACAATAACAAAAGGCAATAAAAATGCCATCATAGCACTTTGTACTTTTATCAAAACATTTTTATATAGTATTTGTTGTGTAATAACAGATTTGATTGGCCTTTGTCCCTGGTTCCTGGGAGGGAGGCTCTAAATCTTTGGAATTTCTCAGGTAATAGGAGTGACTGTTATTCATGACCATATCAGAGTTATGCTGGCAGAAATGTCTCAGGATGGGGACTGGTGGGGAGTGAGTGGGACCCAGAGATTGAGTTCAATTACATGGCCAATGATCAAATCAATCATGCCTATGTAATGACACGTCAATAAAACCTCTGCACACCAAAGCTCAATGGAGTTTTCTGGTTGGTGAACACATTGGTGTGTCAGAAGCATGATAAGGCATCCTGATCTACAGGGAGTGGACACAGAAACTCCCATTTGGGACCCTTCCAGAACTCACCTTATGTGTTTCTTCATTTGGTTAGTCCTGATTTGTATCCTTTATAATAAAATGTAGTCCTAAGTATAACATTTTTCTGAGTTCTTTGCATTGTTCTATGGAATTAATGAACCTGATGGGATTGTGGGCACCCTCTGGATTTATAGCCAGTTGATCAGAAGTGTAAGTGGCCTGGGGGCCCCAGAACGTGTGGCCAAAATGAAGGCAGTCTTTTCGGGGTTTGAATCCTTAAACTATAGGATCTGCACTAACTCAGGGTGGCTAGTGTCAAAATTTAATTGCAGTATTGCAATATTCTACTTTATTTTATGGACACAGTCTCTCAGGTAGATGAGAAAAATGTTACTTCCATTATGCAAATTATAAACTGAAGCACAGAGAAATTAAGTGTTTTTGTTTTTGTTTTTTTTTTAAAGTTGTTCAGTGACAAAAACCCAGATCTCCCTCTCAAAACTCAAGATGAGAGTCAAGGTTGAAAGTCCATTAGCACTCCCATTTATCATCCCATTTTCTTTTATGATTTAACTTTTAAAATGTTTTTGCCCATTTCCTCTATTTGCTTCACAAATGAATATTAATCATGGATGTTTCCATCACAGCCTAGGTCTTTTTGCTCTGATTTCTCTACATCCATTCTCTCAGCCTCTGACCTCTCCTCCTCCCCATGACTTCTGGTTGGTTCCCAAGGCTCTGTCTTCACACAGATTTTTTGCCCCTGTATAGTCTAATCTCCTTAATTGTCATAGGATAGCTCCACTTGCATATTTCACTGATGAAATCTAACATATAATGCAGTTTTTGCAAAGTCACAAATGCCCTGTTTAGTTTTATTGTTAAGTAGCTGTGGGAAAGAAGAAAGTGGGTAATTTGTGATCAAGAGAGTCCCATTATTTATTTTTCTCAGGTGAGTTTTGTACACACCTTCATTTTCTTTAAAAGTTTCTTTGGCATCTTCTTTTTCTATGTCTTCAGGAAGTATGGGTGTGGCTGGCTCTGTTCCTTCACCTGGAGACAGACACATGGACTTGAGAACCTGGAGAAAGGCATCATAATTCAGATATTCTCTGAGGTGCTACCAGGTTCAAGGTGGGATGCCAAAGAGCAGTAGCAATTTGACCAGTGTCATTTATAAACATAGAAAAGTAGAGGGTAGAATCTGTTGGTATGAAAGTTTAATCGTCTTCTTCTTTCTGGTGGACTCTTCCTGCCAAGAATCATAACAACCAGCAGGCAGCTGGCATCAGGGCACATAAAGGGGAAGGACCAATGACTCACTTCTAGGACCATAAATTATCAGTTTGGCTCACTTCTTGTTTAATTGGATTGAATTCTTCCTTTCATATTGTCAATAATGACAGGTAACATCCCAAACCAAATTTACAACTGTTCCTTTACAGAAAGCTTCGAGAAATAGGCAATGCTAGAGAGTGAGATTACTGAACTATTTGTCAGTAACTATGGCTGGGTGTGGCATATACCTGTCCAAATAGTCTGGGTTAGCACCAGTGGTCTTTCTGTTGAATAATCTGATATAAAGAATATAGCTACTAAGCCTATGAAGGGCTGTGAAATAGCCCAAATTAACCAAAATCTCAAAAGACAAACTTACCTCCAGGAGCAATAAAAGGGCCTGTTGGTTTCTCTGTAGCAGAAAGAAATAAAAACAAAAATAATAACTAAATTTGCATGCCGTTTGAATGAAATTGGCCAGATCATGGCATCCATTTATTTGCTCATTCAGTCATCTAATAAACTATCTTAGTGTTACTAGATGCCAGGGATGGGGATAGTAAGTCTAAAGAATCACTTGTGCACAAAGACTAGCCTTCCCCTATCTTTGCTTGGGTACTTCTTTAAAAAAAAGTAGTTTGAAAATTTAAATATGGGAATTTCCAAACATACACAAAAATAGAAAGGCTGGTAGAATGAACCTTTATGTACTATCACTCAGTTTTAGCTCTTATCAACATATGGCTAATTTAGTTTCAACAATAATTCCTACTCCTTCCCAGCTATACTCAAGCCTGGATTATTTTAAAGCAACCCAAGACATTTTAACGATTCCTACTGAGGATGTTTAGAAAGCAACAAACATTGATCTTCAAGTGGTAGAAGTGGTTGGGGGGCTAAGCAGATCACTGGCCAGCCCCTAGGCAGAGACTGGTGATCTAAAACCCTGAGTCATTTTAAGTATTTCAGAGAGCCTTGGAAAAGTCAGGTTGCATAGACAACTTATATCAAATGTTTTTACATTTGGCTGGGAGTGTGTCAGCCTCTTATACTGGTAGTCAAACTCTTATGCTAATGGGATATTCTAGGATTCACAGGGATGGGGTCCTTAAAGGAGAGATTTTAGAATTAACAGTCCTAAGGCCAGGATGTCAAGGCTATTTAGAGAAGACTTTTAATCATCTTCTCGTAAGTGTATGAGTTTGTAGAGATGATGCAAATTCATTAATTTATTTAAAAACACACATATAGTATATGCTGTATGACAGAAACATCATCATGTTCTGTTTTATAAAAACAAACACATTTATCCTGATAACAGCTTTATAAGGTAGGTGCTATTATTATTCTGATTTCGTACACGAGGAAACTGAGGTACAGGGAGAATAAATAATTTGTTCAAATCTCACAGCTAATAAGTAGCTGAACTGGGATTGGAACTAAATAAATTCAAATGAAAATTAAAATCACAAGGAGACAAACTCTGTGTTAGGTGGAGATGCAATAGCAAATGAGAAATGGTCCCATCCCTCTAAGGCTCTTATACACTACTGTTTGGCCATAAAATATGGAAATAGAGGACAATATTAATAAATATCGATTCCATGACATTACATTACAATACATAGTATATTCAATAACATTACGTGATCTGTTCATTTTCCTGTCCCTACATGGTTCAGTCCACTGTGCAAAACTGCAGTAAATGGCACATTAGTGCATCATTTCCTTCCATGCTGCAGTGCATCTGCAATGCCTTGCCTCTGACTTGTCTCTGATTTTCACTGAATCCACCTCTGCCTTTAGCATACCCCAGACGTAATCAAGTGTTCAGATCTGGCTAGCGTGCCACCTACTCTATGTGGTTATGTGGTCTTGTGGTCAAATCTGATTTTAGATGTTATTCAACCAGTCCTTTGCCACTCTGGCATAAGGATGATGTGCCATCCTGTTAGAACCGCACTGGGTGATCTTCCCCTAGTCCATCAAGTAGAGAGATTAGTTGGTCAAACATGCATGTTTCCAGACCTCATGCCAACCATGTAGCAACAGGGCTTGTACATAGGTGGTTAAAGTACTGTGTGTGTGGTGCTAGGATCCTCACAGGAGGAATACCTCACCTAGTTTGGAGGGGCCCTCAAAGGTTTTGCAGAGGAAATTTTTTTACATTTCCTTTTGAAGTAATTTCAGATTTATGAAAATTTGCAAGACTGGTACAAAGAATTTCCACAATCCTCCACCTAAATATTATCATTTTATCACATTTCATTCATTTAATTATTCTCTTTATATATATCTCTATGTTTATATCTATGCATCTATATTTTTATTTATATCTACATATAGATGCATGTATGTATGAAAACATATACAGACACATGCATAACTTTTTTCTTGAGAGTAGGTTGTAGGCTTGGTTATGCTTCACTCCTAAGTACTTCGATGTGTATTTTAGAAGATGTGGGGTGTGGCATTTTCCTACATAACCACAGTATAATGATCAAAACTAACAAATCAACATTGATATCCTGTTATCTAATTGATATCCTGTTATCTACAGACCTTATTTAAATTCTCCCAATTGTCCTAATAATGCCCTTTATAGGAAACCATCCTCATCATCATCCTCATCATCCTTATCCAGAACTCAATACACAATCACTTGTTGCACTTAGTTATTATGAGAGTAGGTGGTGTTTAACTTGAACCTGAAAGGTGAGTTGAGATGAAGAGTTGACTGGGAAAGGAGAAGGGTGCTCCAAGCACAGGAAACAGCAATTAAGAGCTTGTGGGGAATTTCATAATGCACAGAGAGAAATGGAATGCAGGGAGAAGTTGTGAGAATGAAGCTGGAGAGAGGCAAGGGTCTGATCACACCGATCCTTTATGGCATGCTAAGGTGTGTGAACTTATCCTGAGGATAAGGCAAGGTGTTAGTTTTTTTTCTATATTCCCATCTCCTTCTGCCAGATCTATTCTCTGTGTTCTTGGAGGCTCACATCTATGGATTGTGTCACTGGAGCCCCCTTGTCCTTCAGCCTCTGAATGGACTTAACTTAACCAATGAGCGGCAGAGGCAGGAGTTCAGAGAGCAGGAGGAGAGAGAGGTCCAGGTATTTATTCCTCTCCTCTCTTCCCACTTCACTGTGGTTTGACAGTAGATAAACTGTATGGTCACAGCTCCTGTTGGGTGGCTCCTCTTCCATGACCCTAAGCTTTCTCTGGGTTCCGCTAAAGCCATTCTCTCCCTTCACTCCTTTAGGCCTATGGATAATAAGAGCTTCCTATTGTAGCTAGTCCCTGGGCATTTACCATCTCTTGCTCTTTGCCCACATTTCTGCAAATATCCTTTTAATATACTCTTTTCATTAAACTTATATATCTTTTCCTGCCAGGATTCAGTCTAATACAGGTAATAGCAAAAGCAATAAACAGTGTGATTTTAAAAAATGAACTAGGTTAGAGTCCAAAAATAAAAGGATATAAAAACAACTGTCAAAATCTCACATTTCAAAAAATGTTTAAAAAGTACAAAATTTTAAATCATGGCACTAATAGGATATAATTCTCAAAGTGATGGGAAGCCAGTTTTTAACAAATGTTTTGCTTTCGTTGCTCTGAAAGGTGACTTACTAAGCCAGCCTCTGTCTTTGCAACCTCCCTGCCTAAGACAACTTTGAGGGGGTGAAAAGGGAGGAAAGAAACCTGTTAGCAGCAAAAATTGCAGCAAAAGCATAGTCCAATTTAGACAATTTTTAAATGACGGGATTATTTAGTCACCAACTAGATATAATTAACAAGTCGCTCTACTCTTGTCAGGAAAGTATCCAGAAATGGAACCAAGCAGTTGGCTTCACGGAGGTGAGAAACTTCAGGGACAGATTAAAAGTCACTTCAAGTTTAGATCAAAGTCAGTTATAATGGAGGAGTTTGGGAAACTCCAGTAGAATGAGACTACAGTCCTGTAGCCAAACCCTTAACAGATCTAGAAGCAAATACCAGTTGAATTTGCAAGACATGTATAGAAGGTGGTCCGGGAGTTTGAGCCTGCTCATTAAAGTGTCTGCTCTCTGCGTAATGGCAGTGTATTTTATCATCTACCTCCTCTGGTTATTATTTTGTTTCCTTAAAGCCCCAGAAATAATCTCACATGGCTGTTAGAAGACTTGCAGGAATAACGGCCAGGTTCCTTTCACATTTCTTCTTTATTCCAAGTTTCTACAGCCAAACTCACATGTGGAAAGAATAAGAATTGGTAATTGTCCATTTAGAGGGCTTTTTGTTTTCTGCAGTTCTCATAATTCTTGCTTCGTCATATATAAATTAGACCCTTTCTTTTCTTCATCCCTTCTCTTAGCATCTGATACCCTTCTTCTTTGCTAGAATTACTCCTCAACGAGAAAATGTCGCTACATTTCCCTTTACAAGAAATCCCAATCTTTAATATTGCTGCAAGCTTTCTCAGAGACCACATAACAAATTCTTGGAACTAGCAGCTGCTTGTGAAATGAGAGAGGAAGTTGAGAATTCAACCATATAACTTGGGAGAGGATTCGTTACCATCGGAATATTTGCAAATGAAGTTGTTCTTCATGTTGCATCGGTCATCATTCCACTGGAACATGTAGGGGCCCCCGATGCCAGTGGGTGCTGACGGCTGATGGTACATGACCACGCAGACCTCGCTCTCACAGGAAGGCTCATCCACATACCAGTTCCTGTAGGAAAGGGGTCAACAGTGGGGGCAACTGGAGAAAGATGCCACAGGACTTAAAAGCCTTGTTTTCCCATCGAATTTCACTGCTTCATGAACTTTAGATTCTACTTCAGAACATAATACAGAGAAAGGGAGGAATCGAAGTACTTCTAGTAAGTAGAATCACACACTTTCTAATATGACCATCATAATCAATCATCTGACATTTGCCAAAATCTCTTTGCAGGGAAGACTATATTACCATATGATGTCTGCCAAGTAATTATGAGAAAAAGCAGCCAGCAGAACCAGTCTGGATGATTTTATTTCCTTCTTGCTTTTTGATAACTGGATTTGTTTTTCTATTTTTAAGAATCAGATGCACTGAGAAGAGGCTTGACTTATCTCATCCAGAGCTTGCCCTGCTACCCATCTCCCCATACTTTTTAATTGGCTATAACTGCCTTCTCAGCCCTGGGAAGTAGATGAAAAATTCAAGCACCAGACTTCTTAAAATGTAGAGGCTGTCAAAGCAGATGAGGGTGTGGGAACAAGAGTAGGAGGCCCACCTAGTCTTTTTCAGTTGTTTCCACTTCATCAGGCTGATAAGCCCCTCTGTCAGCCTCCACTGCTAGGTTTCTTGTCTTTGTCTCCTTGGCTCCCGATGGGGTGCAATAGCAGCCTAAGCTCCACTACTCAGTGGTACTTAGAATTAAATGGTGCTGCTACCCAGCTGGATATGTGGGTGCCAGGTCAAGGCTTTGGATTCCATAGAGAGTCTCAGTGCTGTGAGCACCCACCCCATGCATTGACCTAGGGCTGGACTCTGTGGTCTGCCTGGTTACCCACCTGAGCCGTTGCCTTCTAGCATTCAGATCTTGCCGTAATGCTGAGATTAATAGTTGGGCCCTACTGCTCTGCCTAACTCTTGTCAGAGCCCCTCTTTAGGAGACAGCCAAGAGACAGGTCTCCTCATAGCACCCCATTACGGCTTTGCTTAAGTGCTGTGTTCTGTCTTCTAAAAGGAAGATCCTTTGCTGTACCCACTGGGTCGAATGTGCCTGGACAACAGCTGAGCTTGCAACACTGCTTGGATATTGTGCCTGGACAGTTGGGCGCCTCAATTGAGGCTGGGCTCTGTATCTCATTAGTTGCCTTCAGGCCATTTTCCAACCCTGTTGGAGGGCCTCCTACCCTGACTTGCCTGTTCTCCTCACTGGCCTTATGGCTTTATGCCATTTCATTTTACAGATGATAGAATGGATGGAATATTATACCTGGCACCTAGTTTCTGGACTTGAGCCAGCTTTTAGGCTCAGAACCCACTGATAAAAAGTGGGCTCTGAGCCTAAAAGCTGGCTCAGAACCCACTGGCTTGGTTCCCAGGAAGAAGGACCCTTCAACACTACAGCAGGTACGCATGGTAATAATTTCCCCTTTTCTCCCAAAGGGACCTATGACCATTTATTCAAGTAATCATATACTGTGGAAAGAGGAAGACCCAAATATTATAAAGACTTTTGGACACAAAGTATAAGTAGACGTTGATATCCAAAGACTAGAACTGTCGTCAAGGCTACCCATTAGTGTGGGAGCATATTGAGGCCAGATCTTAAGTGGATTTCTGGCCCAGGACCAGCTCATAGTGGGACCCATCTGGTGGTCATTCCCCAGACCCCAAATATATGAATCGAAAGTCTATGGGTTAAGAGTTATAATAGTAGAGAAGGTCAAGTGGAAGCTTCTGAAACTGTACTCCTCCCCACCCTCTCCAAGACCGTAAATAAAAACAGTATCTTACCCAGGGGAAGATGACAGAAAGTAGTGCTACCCCTAAAGATCTAGGGAATGCAAGGGTTGTATTCCCCATCATATCTTTATTTAATTCACTAGTCTGGCTCCTGCAAAAACCAGGCAGATCCTGAAGGATGATACTGGAGTAGCATAAACTAAACCAAGTAGAAGCCTCAGTTGTAGCTGTGAGCACCCTAGCTTTTTGCTAGAGCTGGATAACATGTCCTCTAGCTCTTTGCTAAAGCAAGTACCTACTATGAAGGTACTTAGTATGCCCTTAGTACCTACTATGAAGATCTGATGAACACATTCTTTTCAATCTGTATCAGAAAAAAATCAGAAATAGTTTGCATTCATTTGGAATGGACAACAGTATACATTTATAGTCTTGCCTCAGGACTATACTAATTTTCCTACCCTACATCATAATGTGGTATGAAGAGACCTGGACTGGCAAGACATTTTGCAGAAAATTACACTGGTCCACTATCTTGTTGACATCATGCTAATTGAACCCGATGAGCAAGAATTTGCTAGTACATTGGAGGTTTTAGACTCACGTGCTGCAAGTGTTGGAGATAAACCCTGTGAAGATTCAGGGACCTGCCACTTCATGAAAATGTGTAGATGTCGATGTCCAGTGATCTGGAGAATGCCAGAACATCTCTTTCAAATTAAAAGGATTTCGTGCAATAACTTGCAGAAGGAAGCATAGCGCCTAATAGGCCTCTTTTGGGTTCTAGAGGCAGTATGTTTCACACCTAAGAATACTGTTCTGGCCCATTTACCAGCTGACACAAAAGACAGCCATCTTCGAATGGGATCCAGAGCAGAAAGGGACTCTGAAGCAGGTCTAAGCTGTGGTGTAAGCAGTCTTGCCATGTGAGCCATATGATCAAGCAGACTCTATTATTAGAAGTATCAGTGGTGGAGAAAATAATGTCATAAAGAATTTGTGCCAAGCTCCAATGAGAGAATCACAATACAGACCCCTAGGATTCTGTAGCAAGGCCAGGTCATCTGTAGCTGAGAAAGAATCACCTTTCGTAAAATAATTCCTGGCTTGCTACTAGGCAAGGAGCACCAAGAGAGGTACTGTCAGACATACCTAGTCATAGGTTGGCCAGGTATGGAGTCCATCCATTAGAATATGGAAGAGGTACATACAGGACTAAAGGGCATTCTATGAGTAGGACCAAAGGGCGCTGCATGAATAGGTAGAGCAGACTGCTGTGACATCTATCACTGTTGTACCAGAGCCTCTCCCTATGGTACCTAAAAGAACCCCTTACAACTAACAGATGGAGACAGAATCAGCCTGAGTTTGGTTTGTGGATAGGTCAGGCAAGTATGGGAGTACAACTCCAAATGGACAATAGCTGCACTACAGCCCCCTTCAGAGGTGGCCTTGAAAGATCTCTCAATGGCCAGATTTTAGTTGGTGTACCTGGTTAACCAATTTGTGTGGAAAGAGGGGTTATTGGAGGTTAGAATATATAAGGACTCAGGGCAGAGAGCCTGGCCAGCCGATCAGGAGAAAAAAAATCTTTCCAAAAGGAGAAAGAGTGGAAGACTGGGGACAAGGAGCAATTGGATAGAATGATGTGAACAGACATATGGCATTAGGCATAAAGTATGAGATTCTATCCCATATTAAAGCCCACCAGAAAGCATCTAGCAAGAGGCCCTAAACAACCAGGGAGACAAAATGACTCAGCCAGTCGATGTCAGCCAGCCTGTTAGCTACTCCAGTGCCGGTGCAATAGATACACACCAGGGATGCATGGGCTCCGTAGTGTTGGTTTCCACTCTCCATGCTGATCTAGCAATTGCTAAAAATCCAACCTGCCAGCGACAGAGACCAGTGCTAGGTCCCTGAAAGAGCACCAACCCTAAGAGACACTTGGTAGCAGGTTGACTACACTGGACTCCTTCCAATGATTCATTTTGACAGGGATAGACACACAATCTGGGTATGGATTTGCCTTTCCTGCCTCAGGGCCTCAGTCAGCTTACACAGTAATTGATCTAACAGCACAAAATCCCAAGTAACATCTCATCAGATCGAGAGACCTACTTTACAGCAAAGGAGGTGTGGGAGTAGGCACCTGGCCAGGCGATTTACTAGTCACATCATATATTGTACCATCCTGAAGCTGCCAGACTGACAGAGTGATGAAAGAGCTGTTGAAAACACAGCTGAAGCACTTGCTTAGAGGCAGTATGTTGTGAGAACAGGACATCATCCTCCAAGATGCAGTTTATACTTTGAATCAATGACCTTTGTATCATCCTGTGTCCCCAAGAGTAAGAATACATGGGTCTGAGAGCCAAGGGGTAGCAGCAAGAGTAGCCCTGATTACTCTCACTGGTAGTGACACACTTGAAGAATTTGTGCTTCTTGTTTCTGCAATGCTGGGTTCTGTGAGTTTAAAGGTCCTGGTACCTAAAGGGGGAATACTTCCATCAGAAGATATAGCAAGGGCCTTATTGAACTATCAGCTATGGCTGCCTCTTGGGCATTCTGGAATCCCTGTGTCCAGGGGCCAGCAGGCAAGAAGAGGAGTCATTATTTTGGCAGGGGTAACTGACCCTAATCATGAGGTGGAAGCAGGTCTGCTGTTACAAATATGTTTGGTGTCCAGGTTATCTATTTGGGTACCTGTTGGTACTCATGTGCTCAGTTTTGATGGTAATTGGAAAAGTGCAATCACTCTAGCCTGGTAAGTGTAAGGTGACTAGGGCCTCACACTTCTCAGGGATGAGAGGCTGGGTCCTACCACAAGGTAAGCCACTGAGGCTCCCTGAGCGGAGGGTGAGGGGAATCTGGATTAGAAAGTAGAGGGAGATGAGTAAGTATCAGTTGTGGCCCTGGGATCAGCTGCAGTGGTGGGGAGTGAAGTTCATCTTATTAACCTTCCTTTGTTAAATTTCTCCCAGGAAGAGAGGTCTATGAGAATTATGGAGGAGCTACTTCTGGAACTTAGATGAAAATGTGGTTCTAATCAGCATAATGAATGGACTTTGATAGATGCTGACATGCTGTCTTGAGTGTAATAGGTAAAAATTATATATTTTAATCTTCATTCTTTTGATTGATAATGAGTTTAAACTTTTTTCATATGACTATTTACCAGTTAGATTTTTTATTTTGTAAACTGTCTGCTCAGGTCTTTTGCCTCTTTATCTTTTAGGGTTTTATTAACTCATATAAACTTTTAGTGTCTTATTGACTTATATAAACTCTGTCACAAAGAGATGTTAATTCTTTGTTAAATTTGTTACATTTTCCCAGTCTTATGTCTGTCTTTCAATTTGATGCTTTTCGACATCACTGCATTTCCTAGGGAGGGGGACTATGGCAATGCCATGGTGCCAGGGTGGGGTATGAAATGAGTGAGTCTTGATGCTGTGGGTTTAAGAGAGTCCTATAAACTGCAGACTTCCTTATGTCTTTTCTTGGTCAATTCATCGAATTAGATCTTGGCTCTGATTTCTTGCCCATCATCATGATTCCTTTGGTCTGGAGTCCTATCTTAAGTCTTAGCCCCACAGACCTTCTATCTCTCACTGGAGTTCTAGTCCAAAAAGCCAGATAGCCAGAACCACTGACTTGAAGCATTGCGTGCCATTAAAACAATGCTTCTGGGCCACACCCTCCTGAGCAGAACTCTTGGGAAAGGAACTGGGCCCAGATCAAGGCTGATTCACCACTTTCTCCAAACTGCTTTGGTCAGTGCTTTTCTACTGCTGCATCCTCTTTAGGGCTCTGCCTGCTGAGGCCTTCTCCATTTCCTCATTGACGTGGCACCGTAGATCCAGCCTCCCCACTTTTTGTGTTATGTCAAGTGAATTAGCCGCTTTGGGTTCCACACACTTACCTGAATGTTGATGTGCTGCCATCGGTCCAAGCATAAAAGTCCTGGCAGACTGTGCTATTGCTTTGTTTTTCCTCACGCCTCCTGAGCCCAATCCAAAAATCACCATCAGATGCCAGGAGGTTTTCAATAAACTTTTCTATTAGTTTCTGTTCATCTTCGGACTCGATGCTGACTAGCTGGCCCCCATCCCTCCGGCAGGCTGCTCTGGCTTCCTCAAAGTTCAGTCTTCGAGAAGCATCATGGAAGTAAACAACTTTATAACAAGGCCTCCGTGTCCCTCCCCGGCAGATCAGCTGTCCTAGAGAAAAAGGAAGCCAATCTATTTCAGTATTCCCCACAGTACACCAGGGCAGGGATGCCTGGAGGCATGTGAATGAAGCCATTCCCAGGCAGGGATTCTGATTACTCATCAGTGTTAAAATGTCAGTTAGGGTTCTTAGAGCAAATTAATACCTCTCCCAGCCTGGAGATGCAGTGAGTTAAACTATATTGTGTAGTGATTCCATGTTTTATTTGCTTCATTATAGATTCTAAGAAAGCAGACATTTTTTTTTACCATCTTTTACAAGAGAGGTAGATGAAGATTTATGATTTCACTTAAAGGCACACAAATCATTTCATGCCATTAGGGAGTCTCAGGGGATAGTGTGGCTTGAAGTGAGTCATCTGTTTGGTAGTTCCTTCAGGTAAGAGATGCATTCTGAAGTCAGGTGTGGGATCCTCAACCCTGGAGACCTCTGCCTGTGTGGCAGGACTGAGAATTCACCCAGTCTGTGGTGTAAGCAGAAGGTAGGAGCATCAGATCCATAGGGTTTTCTGCTTCTGCTCTTGTTTAAAGACAAAAGTTGAGGTTTAATGAACTCTTAACTATGTGCCAAGAACTATGCTAAGGGCTTTTACATTTATACACATTCTTTATCTCATTGAACTCTCATAGTAATCCCTCAATGTAGGCATTGTTTATGCCCCATTTTATAGATGAGAAAACTGAGGTTTAGAGAAATTAAGTAATTTGGCTAAGGTCACATAGCTTTAGCAGCATTGCCTGAGTCGGAACCAAGATCTAATTATAAAATCATGACATTAACCACTGAACTATATTTTGCCCACTTCCTACTTCACTCTATGCTCATGTTGTTCTGCAAGCCCATGCAATGTGTCTCTGACTGACTGAGACCTGAAAGGCAGAAGATCATCTCAGACAAATAGATGGGATTCTACAGAGGTCCAAATAAATTGTTCACCAGTACACAACACTTTAGCTTGTGTCTGGGTGCCTGAAGCCTTGCTGCACCTGACACATTAGCCTCATTATTCCTTTGTTTCATCAACATGTATTGAGTGTACACTCTGTGCCTGGTGCTGTGCTAGGTGCTGTAAATAAGGAAACAAACTCCAGTTCCTATCCCACAGGAGCAGACAGCATATGTTTCTGAATCCAGATGTACAAAGTGAAAACCACATTTCAACAAGAGGAATCTCTTGCATTGGAAAGCCGAATCGTAGGTTGTGGGTGTGAATTGTTTCCAAAGAGACGGATAAAAGATTTTGGTTTGGGAACCTCTTCCCAGCCCTCACGGTAAGTTCTCATTTCCCTAACGTGGTTTGCCGCTGTGCAGGGAGCCAGATAGCATTCACTATTCTCAATACTGTCCAGAATACAGGGCAAAGGCCACAGATAGTTAAAACTGCATTTTCGGTGCTAAATGAGAACAGAGCACATACAGATAATCCAGAAAGCTCCTGTGATTTCTTATTTTCTATTTTTTCTTTCTTCGCTTTGGTAAAGAAATTCTAAATAAGCAACAAGTTATAAGAGTTTTGCATCTTTTTCCTTTCGCTGTCATTCTGCTATTGCTAAATAGAGAAATTCCAACAGTGCTGGTCCATCGGTAAAATAGGAGGACTTAAAAGCGTAACATCTCGGTAAAGAGATGTTCCAGAAAGACTGGGGACTGCGGGCCAGAGAGGCTGTAGCTGAGCTACTGCCTGGGGAGAAGGTTGGGCCCGCCCAACTTCTATGAGTCCCTAAAGGTGGCTCCAAATGAGGCAGCAACAAATGAATGAGTCCCAGGAAACCCCAGCCTGGCCACCAGTAACACATAAACTGGAGTTGAATTTCCCGATGGTTCCTGCTTTTCCACCATGTGATTATCAAGGGAAAACAAAATACTTTAAAGGAGTTTCCTGTAGCGGCCGGCCACTCCGGACATCGCAAGTCAGCTGGTGAGTGCCAGAGCTGGATGGAGAGGGTTGGGGCGGGGAAGGGGCACATCTGGTTCCCTTGCCTTCAGGAAGTGTCTTTCTCTTCTCGTTTACAGTAAGGGGAAGGATAGGAGAGCCTTGTGTACCCCATGGCTAAGGATAGAGCCTATGCAGCCCTAACTCAAGCAGCCTAATTCAGTTACACTCCTCTTTCGCTGTCCCGCACTCCACCCCATCTTGAAACCAGCTTTAAGTTCTTTAAATCAGCTGAGAAAGCACGGATAACAGAGTGCAGGTTTTCGTTCTCCATCTCTCTTGGCCAGTCTGTCGCCTGCAAGGTGGACCTGAGAAAGGAGAACAGACATACCCCCCCACCCCACACCCCGCGACATGCAGAACGAATGGAAGAGGGAAGAAGCCAAAGCACTGTACCTCCTCTGAGATCCAAGTCCGAGGCTGCAGTTAGTGACACGACAGGAGGAAGGAAACAGAGAGTCATTCCCCAGAGTCAGGCGGGGCTTGTCCCGCGCCAACTAGGCTTCTTTTCCGATCTCTAAGCGCTCTTATTCCCGGCGTTGGATCCAGCCATCCTCCCCACGAAAAAGACCAGGAGTAACAGACTGGGTTCCCATGGCACCGCCGATCCAGAATCCCTACTGTAGCCGCCGTCTCCAGGGGGAGGGCAAGGGAGTTGGTGAGCCCACTCTGCATGGGGTCCTGGGGACTGTTTCGCCGCGCTCCATGGAGCGGGCCGAGGGGGCGCCTACTGGGGCAGATTTGCTCACTGTCCCACCTAGCCTACGTCCTCCAAATTCCGGTAACCCCAGGAGGGGAACGAACTTCGAGCGGTCCTGGCTATGCAGGAAATCCAGGCGGGTCTCAGCCGCGCGGCAATTGCTTGCTCCCCTTGGAGCAGGGGGCGCCGGAGGGCTGTCCACTAGTAGGGTGGGGACGCCACCCCCACCCACTCTGCAGAGGGCCAGAGAAGTGGCATAGCGTTCCAGAGGATAGCGGTACCTGGGGTGCAGTGGGTGCATTCGCCGAGCCCTCCCGGGAATCAGCCCCTGCCCCAGGGCACGCACTCACCGCTTAGCAGACGACCGGTCACGCCCCGGGGCCCGGCCAGCAGCATGACCAGCAGCACAGCCTGCAGCGCCGCTCCCAGCGGCATGGCCGGGCTCTAGTGCGCGCTCGGACACCTGGGCGCTACCGCAATTGAGCTGGCGGACCCACAGTAGTGTGCACGACAACTGCAACGGCGGTAGCAGCATCTCCAGAGGACCGATGGACCCAGCACCCGGAGGAGGCGGGGAGGGCGCGGAGCCAGCCTGTCGCCCCTCCGCCCCCTGAGACGTCACTGTGGGGAGGGCAGCCCCTCTGGCTGGCCCGCCCCCGACGGCCTCCTCCAGCAGGCTCAGCGTTGGATACCCCGCCCGTCTGAGGGAAGCGAGCAGAGGAGAGAGAGAAGCCAGCTAGCTCCTTGCCCCGCTCCGAGCTTCTCAAGAAGGTACTGCAATTGCCCAGGACGCAGGGCCGGGGAAAACCTCAGTCTGACTTCTCAGAAATCCGAGGAAGAGAAGCATTGTGGCTAAAATCAACCACATCTCACCCCGAATCCTGCAGGCATAGCCAAATTCACCCAAGCTCTCGGCTCTGCAACGTGGGCAGATGGGAGAAGCAAGGCACTGAGACCTATCTGGGGCTGGGTAGAGAGCAGTCCAGGAGCTCAAGGCTACCCTTAAGAAAGTAGTGGTGGATGTAGAGAACGCCGAAGTAGGCAGTGTGCCTACTGGCCAGGCAAGTTATGCGACAGCGTGGTTAGGGTCCAGAGAAGGAAGCTAAGTTAGAGTTCTGGCTGAGAGGAGAGTAGCTCCTCGAGAAGCCAAAGGGTGACCCTGAAATCAGCAAGGAAATAATACTGTACTGCTTTTTGCAGGTCACATGTTGGGAGGTGGGGGTGATTGTTCAGCTCTGGACTTATGATAGAAGAGAGATGATCACCCCCCGCCTCTATGAGTGACACCAGTTCTCTGGAAAAGCTTTCCTCATGAACCCAGCCCTTCATGTGTGCTTCTTCTAAACTCCCACTAATAGCTGTGTTTTACATTTGCTTCTTATAGTAAGCAAAATGTTTTAAAATCTATTCAGACAATAAGGTGTGAGCCTCTTGTCCAAAAACTAAGGTACTAAGAAGGTGGGTCTGATTTCTTTGCCTTTCCCTCCATTCCCTGTTCTTGTGAAGCACAGCGGAAGCTCCATTTGGGCTACTGACTTCTGGGTTTTGGTCTCAGCTTGAGCCACTGCAAGTTTAGACAAACAAACCTGAATACAGGCTGGGGGTGAGGAGGGATCTGTTTCAGTACCAGCTGATAATATGGGAAAGCTCTGCTACTGCAGAAAACAGTACCATCAGCAGGATGAGGACTGACCTTATGGCAAGTTCATTTACAGACCATTTTTATGCTGGAATTAGAATATCTCATGCCCAACATACATTCCTTCTAGAAATTCCTGATTATTCTAACAAAGGCAGAGCTTCTATAATGAAAAGCAGCCCTTGAGTTGGCATCAGATGGTCTTTCCAGTCCTGCTTTTCTCCATTTAATGTCTTAAGGGGGCAAGTATTTTATTTATTTATTTATTTTATTTTTTATTTTTATTTTTTTTACCTGTGTTTCACTTAAATTTTGGTAACACTAAAAGTTACCAAAGAGTTTTGTGAAGGGTTGATAAGGCAAATAGACATTCAAGTATGTAGATATCTGGGCACTTAATGTCAAGTGCAAAAGATTTATTTCCAGTATTACATCTATAACAACTTAGAGAAACCATTACTTTGACCCAATTGAGTAAATTGTGCCCTGAGTTCTCCCTTTCATACCTTGACTCTGGGTTCACATAGACTTTGTTAAGGTATGCAGTCAACCTAAGTAGTAGATTACGATAACAACTCCAATTCTTCACACCACCCTCTATCTACACGCTTTACTATGTGGCTTTGAAGTTCCTCTTACTAAAAGGGCAGAGTATATTTTCCTATCTCTTGTCTTTGTGTTTGATCATGTGACTTGTTTGGCCAACAGAATGAACCAGAAGTTTCTGAGCCTAGACCAGAAAAGGCCTCACATATTTTGATTGTTCCCTTGCTTCTCTGCTGCTCTGAGAGGAACGGAGCTCAGACATCCCTCTGGATCATGTATATCCCAAAGAAGGTATGAGGAGCAGAGCTGCCTCAATCAATGGACATGCAGTGAGAAGCAGGCCTGCCCCAGGTGCTGTGGTCTGAAACAGGGCTGTCTGGCTAATCCTAGATCAGCCAACCCCTCAGCTGACCTACAGATGTGTAAGCAAGAATAAATGTTTGTTTCAGATCACTTTGTCATGTAGTATTGTTGCAGTAATACTTGATGATTACACCTGGTAATGCAGAGAAGTATCATCAGGGGGAGCCTAGTTGCCAAGAAAGCTCACAAAATAGAATTTTTCTTGGTGAAATTATCTTGATCCAGGGTCCAATCTTTAGTTTGACAAGCTCAAACCCA